GACCCTCAACATAAGTTTATAAAATATAACTATTATGAATATATATATGCCTTGTTATATGTGCCCTTATTATATGTGGCTTAATATCAAAATAAAAAAAAAAAAAAGAGTAAAAGTTGTCAAAGTGACAACATGAAAAAAATATTTATGAGAATTTAGAAATAAAAATTGATTAAATTAAATGGAATATGATGCAAAATGATGATATTGAATGCGTAAAAAATTGAAATAAATAAAAACAAAATAAAATTAAATTACGTAAAGTCTAAGAAACGGACAATTTAATAGTGGTCAGACAAAATTTGCTTATGCCTAAACCTGAACCCTTTTTTCTCAGTGCTCTTGCTTGTGCTCTTTATACTTTTGCTTGTGCTCCTGCTTCTTCTTGTGTTGTGCTCCTGCTTTTGCTTGTGTTGTGCTCCTGCTGATGCCTGTGTGTTTATTTTATTTTCATCCTGTGACGAAACGAAGAGTTACCAAAACCAGCAGCCTTCATTTTTATTTTTGATCTTGTCCTATTTTTTGTTATGTGTCCTTTTAAGTTACTTTTTTGTGTTTTTAAATTTGTTTTAAGTTATTGTTTTTTTTATGTTAGTTTATTAACTAATGTGAATGCAGGCCGTGACCCTATCTTGTGATGGCACGTCGATCGCGTCCCATACATGTACATTTTGCAACAAGTCTTTCAAATCTTTGAAAGGCCTCAAAATACACATTTCTAAAACACACAGGAACTGTATTAGCCAAACCAGTTCACTTTTAGAAATCCATCCCATTATTCCGAGTGCGCCTACTTTTGCAGCCAACGCTCCAACTCCTTTTCATACATTACTTAGCCATTTGAAAAATAGTACACCCATTGTTAAAAGAATCCCTCGCGGAGCACGAATAACTGTTGCTACACATTTGTCAAAATTAATCCAGAAATGTTATATAAGCAATTGTACTCAAGACTGGCAGAACTTATTTTTATTTTCATACAGTACACTACACATAATAAAAACTGATGAACCGAATTTATCCCTGACACAAAAGATAAAGAATAACTGTGCTGTAAGTTCCTCACCTTCTCCCGCACCTCTAATTAAACATGATGCCCCTTTTAATCGCAAAAAACTCATCGAGAACAAAATTTGTGACGGAGATCTTAAAGGTGCCGCTCGTCTTTTGTTCTCCAATGACGTGCTATCGCCAGATACGCCTGACACCCTTGAGGCATTACGGACTAAACATCCCCCAGCTCCAGTAAACCCATATTTTCTCGACCCACCAACAGCAGGGCAAGCATGCCTTAAAATTCGAAACAAAGATGTAACTGATGCAATTTTATCTTTTAAACCAGGTTCGGCAGCAGGATTGGATGGAATCTCACCCCAACATTTGAAAGATTTAACATCGCATTCTGTGGGTGATGCAGGCGAGCAACTTATTAACTCGATCACAAAATTAATAAATTTTATGTATTCCGGGGATGTCAATACAGAAATTGTTCCCATTCTTTTCGGCGCGAACCTCATTGCCCTCACTAAAAAGGACGGAGGGGTGAGACCAATTGCTGTTGGTTCAACACTAAGACGTCTGGCTTCCAAAATTGCTGTTCGACATATTTTACCAAAATTAAATTCAGAATTTGAACCTGTACAGTTAGGCTTCGGTGTGAAAGGAGGGTGTGAGGCAGCCGTCCATGCCCTACGCTCTTTCCTAAGTCACGGACAGCCAGACGTGTTGCTCAAAATTGATGTGAAAAATGCATTTAATTCGGTAAATAGGGATACCCTGCTGACTGAAATAAAACAACATATACCGGAAATATACAATTATCTTCTTCTCAGTTACGCTGATCCAACTAAATTGTTATATCGTTCTAATGAACTTTCCTCGGAAGTAGGTTGTCAACAGGGTGATCCCCTTGGGCCTGCAATTTTTAGTTTGGCTCTAAATCCCATAATCAAAAATTTAAATTCTTATTTCAATGTTTGGTATTTGGACGACGGAACCCTAGGAGGTGATGTGGATACTGTGTTTTCGGACCTTCTTTTAATCAAAAATAAATTTGAAGCCATTGGTTTGGAGCTTAATTTTAACAAATGCGAACTTTTCATAAATAACTGCGACTTAAATTTAAATGATGTAAAAAAAAATTTCAAATTTTGGCTCCAAATATTAAAATAGTTAACAGGAATTCCCTTTACCTTTTAGGTTCTCCAATTTTTAATGAATCTATTTCTGATTATATTCATACTTCAATTACTAAATTTCAAAATTCTGCTGACCGTCTCCTTGAAATTAGTCCACATTATGCACTTTGCATCTTAAAATTCTGTCTTTTCCTCCCAAAATTTACGTATGTGCTCCGTTGCTGCTCCTTTTGGAATCACCCAGATATTTTAACACCATTAGACGACTTAATCAAAATTAGCTTAGAATCACTTCTTAATATGCAGCTGAACGAGAAATCTTGGACCCAAGCTTCCCTACCCATCCGTTATGGTGGTTTAGGGATTCGCAAAATTTCCAGTGTCGCTTTACCAGCCTTTCTATCTTCTGTCCATAGTTCAGCAAATCTCATAAGTAAAATTTTAAGGGCATCCCCTTCAAACTTTGAGATTGCTGGCTTGGAAGAAGCTAGAAACGCTTTCTTGATTGCATGCCCAGGTCAAAATTTTCCATTATCTCTAAATTCACAGAGGAGCTGGGATGACATACACTGCAAGTTGACTTTTGACGATCTTTTGAGTCGTAGTACGGGTTCGGCGCGTGCTAGGCTTTTGGCCGTGGGCACGCATGAGGCCGGCTACTGGCTTCACGCTTACCCATCGTCAAATACAGGAACTTTTCTTGAGCCTGACACGCTTCGAATCGCAACCTGTCTACGGCTTGGGGTTCCGGTCTGCGCTCCTCATATATGTCCCTGTGGCAGTGATGTCGACAAGTTAGGACATCACGGCCTGTCATGCCAAAAAAGTGCAGGCCGCTTCTCGAGACATGCCGCACTTAACGATATCATACGCCGTTCCCTTGCCACCGTCAACGTGCCAAGTCTTCTTGAGCCAAGTGGTATTGCAAGAGACGATGGCAAGAGACCGGACGGTATGAGTTTGATTCCATGGAAGATGGGTCGGGTACTGGTATGGGATGCAACCTGTTCAGACACGCTGGCCCCTTCCCATCTACATGGAACCAACTACAGAGCTGGTGCGGCTTGTGAAGCGGCTGAAAAAAATAAAGCATGCAAATACAGGGGTCTGGGCTCTGAATATGATTTTGTCCCATTCGGTGTCGAGACCCTTGGTCCGTGGGGTCCTAGCGCTTTAAGGCTTTTTAAAGAAATTTCAAAAAGGTTAGTCGACATCACAGGAGACCGAAGATCTGGCAGCTACCTCGGACAAAGAATTAGTCTAGCAATTCAAAGGGGGAACGCTGCCAGTATCTTCGGAACCTTGCCTAAAGGGACTCCTTTTAATGATATATTTTAGTTTATGTTAAGTTTCGTTATTTATTTCAATGTATATTATTTTATTATTATTAGTTTATGTTTATAAGTTTAATTTTATTAATATTGTTACCATTACACTATATTCCATCTAAATCAAATATTGTATAATATTCTTGTACTAAATTATATGTGGCTTAATATCAAAATAGTTTTTATAACCCCGAGAATCAAACACAGGTACCAAGTTACGAGGGTAAACATATTTGTTTACAATAGTTAGTTTCAAAAATTATTTTACTATAAAAAATAATAACATAAACATATTCAATAAACAAATCTCAAAAGAAAATCGCTATACAAGAATTCCTTTTTCCATTCGCTTCTTTTAATTTTCCAGCCGCTGTAAAATATGTTTTAATAAAATGTGCATCAAGCAACTTTAATGAATTTCTAAACGCAAGAAAATTTATAGAACACTCTGGTTGTAATCATTCAGTTATATCAAACCTTTGCTGATAAAACTATAAAAGCACCTTTACAGATCTTCCACGAATAATATTATATACGTTAAAAAATCAAACCGATCTAATTAGAAGTTGTTTGAATAAGGAATGCGCACTGCGGAGGCGGTCGATTAAACTATAGTAAGAGTCAATAAATTGTTTCCGATATTATTTGTCGATGTCACACAAACGAGCTATTGAATTGAGTTTCAATTGCAATCTGTTTACTTCTAGAAATAATGTACAGAGTGGAGCAGAAATTAATTACCGTTTACTGTGTATTTAAAGTAAACTGTTCCGTTGTTGTTGAATAGCACACTTTATAAAAAGCAATGGATATTGTTTGTCATTTTGAAGTAATGAATATTGTAGTGTTTATCCATGTAATATACTTTGCACAGCAAAGTAGCGTATAAAGAAATCATTATGAAAACGAAAAAAATATTTAAAAAATAAGAAAACGAAGGTAGAATTAAATAAATACCATTATTTAAAGAACAGATTTATTGGAAAATTCAGAACTATCGTTTTTATTATTTTCCCTAATGTATTATTTATGTTTCCCACCGTTTAAACCTTAATTGGACTTCCATAAATTTTAAACACCATGCTAAGCCAAATCGGTCCAGCCATTTTTATTGAGACAAACTAACAGCAATTCAATTTTATATAAATAAATAAATTTATTTTATTTTAATGAATTAAGTAAGGGCCAGCGGTGAATCCCAAAAAATCCAAAATTACTTTAATTAATTACTAGTACAATAATTGAGAATTAACTAAACATGACTATTTAATCGGCCCGATATGAGGTGCACGACAAATAATCTATATTATAGGCTTATTACTAATTGAGAATTTGACCGATCCGATGTGAGATATACGATCAAAAGCTGTTGGTATCTGTTGTCCATTTCCTTTTATAACGGTGTTGTGTCAGAGGGGTACAGGTATTGGTTATGCGGGGCAAAGGGAGTGCAATGGATATGTAACAAATGTGCGTACACGAATTTATCAAAAACAAAATGATCAGAATTTTTTTTTTAATAACAGTATGAAACTTAGGCTTCGTCATTTCTACCGCAGGTAACTGGGAATAGTGCAGCATCAACCATGGCTAAAGAAAATCGTTCGTGTTTGACGTGTGTAAGTCCCATTGCGTGGAGAGTTGTATGAGCCACTTCGGCGGGCAATGTACATATTGGTGTTATTACGACTTGCTGTAAAAAATAGCGGCTACAACATTTGTATATGGCCTCATATTTCTGCACCAACAGACTAGATCCCCTCCTGTGTCTGATTCACGCGTTTATTTTCTAGATTCCTCACAATAGTTTTATAAATAACTAGCTGACACGGCAAACGTCGTTTAGCCATGTATATTATTTCTAGGAAACATATTTTTAGTTCAATAAAAATAACTATCAACTGTAATAAAAAATAGGAGTTGATTGTAGAGGGGTAAAATTTAGGAGTTGTATGTATTTTTGTATGCTGTAAAATAAAAACAATTTTTTTTTTCTAAAAAATAAAATTTTTTTTTTGAGGTGGACATCCCTTATCACTTAGGGGTTTGAAAGATAGATAGTAGCCGATTTTCAGACTTACTGAATATGAATAAAAATTCATATGAATCGGCCGAGCCGGAGGAGTATGGGAACGAACATTGTGACACGAGAATTTTATATATTAGATTATGTACTTCAAATGCTTAGAGTATATTCTATAAGAGTATGTTTTATAATCAAGGTAAAAGATATAACATTTAACTATTAAAATTGTAGTTTGAACTATATTTAACAAAACTCCCCGTGTGTTTAACACTTACAGCAGCTAATTACATTCTGTCTATTACGCTGGTTATTATTTTTCCCCTGGGAACCCCGACAATAGACCTTCCGAGCTCATACGGAACATTGTACTAACTATATCGCCTTCATTTAGTAGAAAGAGAGCAGCTTTATATTAAGGCAAATATTTCTTTTACAATCTATAATTCTTTGCTTAAAGAAATATTTGTATAATTGTCATAACTCAAAAACTACTATCAGCTAATAAGTTTCTATGTTTGATTGTAGGCGCTAACCTCACGAACTACTTTTTTTTAAATAATATTTAAGATCACTGCCACCTAATAAGTGCAGGTGACAGGCACAGATTACTAAGATATTAAAAATATACTTACTCTTTTTCCGAAGGGTATTGTGTAAAACTGCATACAACAACTTTCTAACACATCCGAATAGTTGTAGAATAGAAATGTGAAATTTTTACGATCCACCAGCTCTAAAGGGTTGTGTTCAATGAATTTAAGACAGGACCGTCTTTCGATAAAATCTATCCCCTTCTTAACAATACTTATTAACCGTTTTGGACCTGAAAAATAAGTTTCCTTTGTTGTACCAAACGTTGATAAACATTTATATACTGAAAACAATATTTACAGTGCCTAGTTATTCTCAAGGTTATTTAGTAGCAATAACCATAGATTATAAGTCTTCTTAGAGTAAGGAGTGGCTTGTAAACCCACAGGGGCAGCAGATTCAACTGATATAAAGTAATGCGATTTTTACTTGAAACTGGCATAAAGTCAAAACTATTGCCATAATATTATAAAAAAAAGTAATGCGATGCTCATAGACAATCACCTCTAACCTCTCCCTTTAGCCAAGTCATTGCCACAGTAATAGTCTAAACAACAGTTATTAAGTTAAATATATAGTAATATTCCTAAAAAAATTACAAAATATAAATTTACTTCTAAAATATTTAAGGGCTTCACCTTGGTAGATATTCCAAAAATGTTTTCATTTCGCTAATGGAAGGCGTAAAAACTTCAGCTTTAAATGTTAATTCAGCCTTACAGGAATGAGCATGTTTTTATATGGAAAGCGAGCTACACATATGAATCTAAGATCTAATAATAAATATTATCTTTATATTTAACATATATCATCTATTGTTTTAAGGAATTTTTTTAAGGATGTTAAACTTTTTTATATTCCAGCTTATTTTCCTATCTTCATATGTATATATATGCAACGGACTGCCATATCGCATGTAAGCGTTCTCTTCCAGGGTACCCTAATGCAACATTTCATTAAAAACAATTAAACTATTAATATAATATAATATAATATAATATATTATAATATATTATATTATATTATAATATAATATAATATAATATAATATAATATAATATAATATAATATAATATAATATAATATAATATAATATAATATAATATAATATAATATAATATAATATAATATAATATAATATAATATAATATAATATAATATAATATAATATAATATAATATAATATAATATAATATAATATAATATAATATAATATAATATAATATAATATTATATTATATTATATTATATGTCGGTATGCCAAAAACTTATAACGTAATCACCCTCCTGTTATATAGATGCACTATAAAATAAACTCGAATTCATGTTCGGTACGATTAGTTTTTAGGACGAACATATTTGGTACCGACTACCATTAAGCGTAAAACAATATGTTTTATGTATTGGTCTATAATTACGTAACTAGACAGAAACATCTACTTACTTATTGAATAGTAATTGAATGTATAAGGTATTATTCCATTGTTCCATTGACATGGCCAAAGCGGCGGTAGATTTTCATTTGTTCCTAAGGCACAAAATCTCTTTAGGTAAAACTAACTAGTTAGACTAGGTGCCATTTAATATTTTGTGTGAGTGCGTTACACATTTTAAAAAACTCTATTTCGTAAATTTATCTAAATGACATTACAAATGACACACAAATATACTTATAACATCTCATAACCATCTTTCCCAAACACAATGTATCACCTGACCACTGTAGGTCATTAATTTTAGAACACAATCGAATCAAAGAATAACAAAATGGTTGATTTCATGTAGTCAAAACAATACTAAGCAGGATTTTTATAAAAACCTTTCACATGATAAACTTTTATATCGCTGTCGTAATATTTTTATTTCAAACGTCAGAATCAATATACATATTTTTGCGATGTAATTCAACAACTTATTATTTTTTTTAAATGTACCAGGTATTTACTAGAGGTACGCATTAAGAAGCGATATAAATTTGACATAGGATGAATCATATATGGTATAAAATAAACTTATTTTTTCTTAAAAATGTGTGCAATTATAAGAATTAATAATTTGTAAACTTGTAATTACCAATTTCTTATATTCTTTAGTCAAAGTTAGTATCTATATATGAATACTGGTTAGGCGCTGAAGATCATGTAAAGTAAACAGACTAGACAGTTTATAATTGGAACATATTTTTTTTGTAATTGTGTTTTCCTCTTGTTGGTAATGATGTGTTCTGTTTGCCGTGTCGAGTGTACGTTATTTTAAGCATATGATTGAGTGTTGCCATTTAAATAACGGAGAAGCAATTTATTTAAAGGACACTTTAACTGAGATCGTGACAATCGATTTGTTAGGTATTGCCATGCAAATAAAATTATAAATGCAATGAGGCTTGGTAGATTTATATTGTGTAATTTGATTAAAATAATTATATTTCTCAATGAATGTACCATATACACATTACACATAGTCTTTCTAAGACGTCAAAATTAAATAAAAAACGTCCATCAAAATCTTACATTTAATTTCGCGTTAAACAGCCTAACTATGCTATATAATGAAAATATATATTTTTGGTTTAAAATAATAATGATTTATCCCAACCATATCTAGACTTAATCCTATCGATTACCGCACGATTTCAAACGTATTTAAATGTTTATTAACCAATTAAATTACCATTTATGTCACAACACTGAACGTTCGCAAACATATTGAAAAGTGTCGGAAATAAAACGCAATAAAAATAATACATGCCTTATTCAGTTAATGAGAAAAGTTATTGAAGTAATTTTGTATCCATAAATCGTGTTATAAATCAAATTTTACTGCCCGAACAAAGTTTTTTATGCCCAAGGTGGATTTTATGAACATCTAATCTGTAGCTATATGAATACGTATATTTACTTATAAAGTACAGTAATCTTTTTAAGAAACGTAGTAATGACGACTCTTGTGACTCGATCCCGCGTCTTATTTAATTGTGTTAACCACTTCTATGATCAAAAATTAAATAACCAGTCTTTATCTAGCTTGAGAGAGATGTTCCTTGAATAGAGAAAGCCAGAGTACCGTGAATGCTCCTAAAAGGCACTGGCATATCGAATGTCATTAATGTGAAAAACAATAAAGGCAGCAATACGTCAAAACAACGATGGCTAGATGTTGTTACCGGGATTCACGATGGGACAGGCTTCACAGGTTCTTGCTCGAAGGGACCCTACGAGTATAGCACTTTTGTGATGGTGATAATGATAACGGATTGGTTTTGTTTCGAAACAATTTTCAATAGAGATTACAAGTTACTACATAACTCCAAGTTTTCAAAATTAACGTTATAAATATAGAAATAGTCGTGGATTTAAAGAGAGAGTCAACATGACTAGGTACGATTTTGAGTAAAGGTAAGCGTCTTGTAAGTACAACGTCTTAATCGGATCTATTAAGATAAGATCGGCGTCTCACAAAGCTTAATGTTAGGACAAACCAAATGAACAAATTAACAAAAAAGTAATGTTCCATTACAAATAATACACGTATTCTGAACAAAACCGTATTATATGTAACAGCTTTTTTAAGTTTATAACGCATTACTATTTTAAAATGACTATCATTACATGTGACATCACTGACACCGTCTTACCCCATATACCTAGAAGAAGACGAACTAACTATTGAAATCTCCTGTGTGGAACTGGAGCAATTCATTGTTGTATGTCTATATTGTCCTCCATCAGCTGTCTATAATAATGTTGAAAATGTATTAGAGGAGATATTGTGTAAATTAGTAAAGTGTAATAAAGGGCTAATTGTGTGTGGGGACTTTAATGTCAATTTACTTTGTCATTCTAATTCAAGTGTACGCATACTTAGTCTTTTTCGTTCATACAATTTAATAAATCAATTTCATTCACCCACAAGAATAACAGCTAGCACCGCAACTTGTATAGATAATATATATAGTGACATAGCCCCTTTGAATGTTTGTATTTTCAATAGATTTAAATCTGATCACACTGGTCAATGGTTTGAATTCCAATTAAGGAAACAAAAAACAGGTAAAAAGAAGAAAATTGTGATAACTCCTATTACAAATGACCGTTTGGACAGATTTAGAGAAGCATTGGTCTATAGAATGCCATTTCTGTGTGGCAACTCATCCCCTAATAATTTATACAATACTTTTTTTGGATCATTTCATCAATATGAATTCAAGAAAGTATTTACTCAAAAGACTTTATTGGTCTCTGAGAAAACAAGTTTCTGTGACTGGGCAAATGAGGAGTTACACAGGAAAAGGTTAAAATTATATGAAATCTATGACGAAATGCAATATAACACTAGTGTGGAATTTAGGGAATATGTTAGGTTGTATTCAAATAATTTCAAAAAAGATTGCAAAACTGCAAAGTCTCAATATTTAAGTTCAAAAATAAAAATAGCATGGATAAAGTAAAAGCTACCTGGAAAATAATAAATGAAGAATCAGGTAAAACGTCTGACAAACGAACTGATTATATGTTAAAAGTTAAAGGGAAGTTAATAAAATCTGACCCAGAGGTAGCTTCTTCTTTTGAAGAGTTCTTTACAAATGTACCACTAAATACGACCAAGTCCCTAGATTCTTCACCTGCTGCTGCGATCTCATTGCTAGAAAAATGTGTACCTGAATGTAATATTAAATTTCAGTTTAAACATATAACTTGTAATGATATCGTTAGAACTTTTGAGCTTATTAATTTAAAAAAAAGTAAAGATATATGGGGTATGTCAACAGTCATTTTAAATTCCGTTATTAATGTAATAAGCTCTGAATTGTCTATAATTTTTAACAGATGTATCGATTGTGGAGTCTTTCCGGACGAAATGAAATTAAGTAAGATTACACCGTTGTTCAAGGCCGGTAGTGAGTCTGATCCGTCAAACTTCAGACCTGTTTCCGTGCTCCCTGCGTTGTGCAAAGTTTTTGAAAAGATAATGCTAGACCAGCTTTCTTTACATTTTAATAAAAATAAACTCTTACATAATAAACAGTATGGTTTCACTAAGGGTCGCTCCACAATCGATGCCGGTGTGAAGTTGATTTCGGACATATTTAACGCCTGGGAAGAATCATATGATGGAGTCGGCGTCTTTTGTGACCTGTCAAAGGCCTTTGACTGTGTTCATCCTGATATACTCGTTGGAAAGCTTCAACACTATGGCGTTGATGGCAAAGCTTCCAGCCTGATGAATTCATATTTAAAGGGAAGGATCCAAAGAGTTCATGTCAATGGAGTCACCTCTCCGGGTTCGCAGGTATCAATGGGCGTCCCCCAAGGATCGATTCTCGGGCCTTTCTTATTTCTGATTTACATAAATGACCTCCCATTCTTTGTCAACGAAGTTCATGAGATGGTATTGTTTGCTGATGCCACTTCACTTCTATTTAAAGTGAATAGGAATAACGTATTATTGGACGATGTAAACAATTCTATCTCTCGTATAGTTAACTGGTTTAATGTAAATAACTTATTGCTTAATGAGAATAAAACAAAATGTATTAGATTTACAACTACTAGCGTAAAGCGAGATATTGGTAACCTGAAAATTAAGGACAGTGAACTAAACTTTGTTGACAAAACTGTTTTTCTAGGCATAACAATAGATAGTAAACTCCAATGGGGCCCACACATAGAGACTCTTTCGAATAGGCTGAGCTCTGCAGCATATGCAGTAAAGAAAATCCGACAGTTTACTGATGAGGACACGGCTAAAATTGTGTAGCTAGTTTCATAGCGTTATGTCGTACGGCATTTTACTGTGGGGTGCTGCTGCAGAGGTTCAATCCATATTTGTGCTGCAGAAGCGGGCTGTTCGGGGTATTTGTTGTGTTTCTCCGAGGGAGTCGGTACGGAATAAGTTTAAGGAATTAAATATTATGACACTATCTGGTCAATATATTCTTGAAGCCTTGTTGTATGTCCAAAAAAATATAAACGATTTTAAAACAAATGGTGACTTTCACCAGTATAATACGCGAAATAGAACTAATTTGAGTGTACGACCAACCAGGCTCCAAAAGATAAACCACTCCTTATATGGAAATTGTATTCGTTTTTACAACAAGCTCCCAAGCGAAATTAGAGAATTATCACTAAATAAATTCAAAGCCCTCGTTAAACGAAAATTAATCAACAAAGCTTTTTATAAATTTGAGGACTACTTAAATGATCCTAATCCTTGGGATTGAATTGCTCCAGTTCAATTTGTATGACAATACTTGGCGATTAAAAAGAGTGGCGGAAAGTTTCTTGCCAGTTCTTCTTACCCGCTCTACGCCCTTGACTTGCGAACTGGTAGTAAATGTAAATTTACGATTAATTTAACTTGACGATTCAAAAGTGTACTTGGTTACCTACTTGAATAAAGATATTTTGAGTTTGAGTTTGAGTTTGATATTGGTCGTGAAGGGTTTGATTTCCAAGGAAACAATAACTTACAGCTTCTTTGAAACCTGTAATAAATCAATGAATAGTACATCATATTGAATGTATACACGAAAAGCAACGACAGCCTTATTGAAAAGCTTTTTTTCTCATTTAATTTTGCATTTGAAGCCTGAGGCTGTATGGATTTTTATTTTTATATGCGCTATTAACATGTTTGAGAGTAGGATTTAGAGAGCAAACATGTGTTGGATTTGATACGAGACAGCGCTAAGTATGACTACATCTTACTAGATTCAACTACACGATGAAGAAGGGCGATCTCCTATTTGCCTATAAAGAAAAACGCATGAAACATATCCTAACGCCAAAAAGGCTTGCAGTGCCATTTGTTGAATATGTTTTATAAAATAGTCTACATTTGTATTATATCTAACTAACAACCCAGCTGTAGAAAACATTTGTTAATTGGCACGTTGCACGGTTTTCTCTCAAAGGAAAATTTAAATAACAATTTAATAATGTGTGCTTTATATGACCTCATTGGCTTAAATATAATTGCAGTAATTGCACGTCAGGTAATATAATTATTAAGTTGTTTTAACCTTATTTACGAGAGCATATTTGATTTTGAAATATAATTGTATGCAAACGCATTGTTTTATATGAATTTAACCTCATGTATAACTGTATATAACACTCATGGATTATATTCATGGCAAAGAAATGGCTTCGACGAGCTGAAGATTTGCTTGTCTATAACGAAATATAATACGCAGATATGTGTTTGCATGAAGCAAATGTCCCAGTCCCACTGGACTTTGGAATTGCTAAAATATTTGTACTCAGTAAGTTTTAAAGTTAGATTGTACTTTTTATGCGATAATAGATATATTTATTATTACATAAAAAGTAATACCTTATACCTTACCTTACACCTTATACCTTATTCGTTTGAGAGAATGATATAGACAGAGTTCTCTTTCAGTTTTAGGTAGTCTATAGTTAATTTACGCAGAAAATACGATAGAGCCAATTATTATTACATAATTTGCTGGCCATTTATTTGATATATCAAGATATGTGATGGATAACACAATTTAAAAAGCATCCACCAAAAAAACACATAAATAAGTTACAATATAAAGTAATAATAAAAATCCAAATGAAAATGAAAATTAATTAGTAATGCTTGCAGTATTTTGATGTCTTCAGTCTTGACGAAAACTTGGAGATTTTTTTTAATCGTATCAACTTTCTGTATAGACGAAGCTTAATACAGTAC